GAAACAGCAGTTTTCGGGGACAGAAGCACCCTCATTACGACTGTTTGGGACGTGAAATGTGGCTTACGTGCATCCCTTATTCATAGAAGTTTTGCGCCGCAGGATGAGCAGTGGTCGGGGACAGAAGCACCTGCGTTTACCAAAGCCCTTTCAGGAACCGCGAAGGGCATTCTCACAGTACCTAGTAGTTTCCTAAATGTATCAGGATGCAATTACAGGCAGACCTGGATGAATCTGAACGCAATAACGTCCAGAGCTTAGTAGAAGAAGTCCTGGTGTGGGTATGCCCGATGCTTCGTGAGCGATCTCCTTAATTCTAGCGCAAAGCCAAAGAATCAGTCTGTCAGACCTATCCGTCGGATGCCAGGCAACTGCAAGTCTGCAATATAATACTGAGTGTATCGGATGCGAAACATGTTCTGTGAAGTTTGTGTACATTTCGGATTACTCTGCTCGAAACCAACAGACCATGCATTCCCGAAGACACACAGACATGCAAACTTTTTCTTTTCTTTTCTTTTCTTTTTTCTTTATTTTTTATGTTTGTCATCCTTGCACAGGGGCCATGCTAATCTTCTCTGTATCGTGCCAATTTTAACGGATGTCCCGATGGTCAAAACGGGCATAAATCTTTTTTTTTTCCCCCTACTGAGTCTGCTCATAATTTTTATGGGGGGTGTAGCAAGGCTTGCCACTTCATTGCCCCACTCCAAAAAAAAAATTGACACCCCCAATTTTGGGGGATGCGCCCGACCACGTGTGTGCGCATGGGTGCGGTGCGCTGTGCGGCGGCGGGCGTGTGCGAGTGGTGCACACATAGTTGCAAGCATAATGTATAGTATTGTATAGCCTTGGAGCTTATTCCTTGATGCTTGGCTACTCTCCTTCATCTCTTCTCATGTACAGTATTTTCAGTCTCCTGATGAGTCGGTGAAACTCCGACGAAACAGTTTGTCACAGCCCCTCGTTTCTTGTCCTCTTCTCCCTCTCTGCCTACGGTTTACCGGGCAGCTCTGTTTGACGATATATAGTATATAGCATATACCCGTGAGGGCCGTGACATTGATTCTCTTGTATGTAAGATGTGGTTACGTAGATCTGGTCTGGTCCACAGTAGGACCAGAATTTCCGGAGTGCTCAGAAACAGTGATTTCTCCATGAAATCATCAGTCAATTCGAGTTCCAATCAGGCGCATAGTAGCCGCATACCCTTTCTAGAGCTGTCACGTGTGGGAAGCAACTGCTGTTCCGAGTGCGCAGAGATTTGCAGCTGAACTGTGTCTCCTGTCCTGTTTAGGCAGTGTCATTTTGGGGCTGCCGCACTTGTGTTGCAGTCTGTCCCTTCGGCAATGATCTTAGCTACTACCGACCTGATTAGGAAAGTTAGCCAACTTCAAAACGGAATCAGTTAGCAATGGCTCTGATTAAGAAAGTTGGGCAACTTCAAAACGGAATCAGTTAGCAATGGCTCTGATTAGGAAAGTTGGCCAACTTCAAAACGGAATCACTTGTGGTCTCTCAGACGACAGGTTGCAAAATGTGCCAGTTAGCTAGCGCTAGGGCAAGTTCAATTCTTTTCGAGGTTGGAAGTGGCAGAGGTATGCGTAAGGTCGGAGCTGTGGATGGAGGTACGGGTGATTTTCGGGGGGCTGGCACCCACTGTTGCCGCGTGTGTTCGCTCTCAGAAAAAGCACGAACCTGGCCATAGCACTATCCTTTCTTCCTGTAAACCTCCAACATGCATTTACTCTCGTAAGAGTCGCAAGAGGCTGACGCCCACTGTTGCGTGTGTGTTCGCTCTTAGAACGTCCGAACCTGGCCATAAAACCATCCTTTGTTTGCTCTTTGAAAGTCCGAACATACCTGGCCATAAAACTATCCTTTTTTTTCTTTTTTTTTAATTTATTAAACAGGTCCTTATGGGCCTGGCTCCACTTTTTTTTTCTTTTTTTTATTTATTAAACAGGTCCTTATGGGCCTGGCTCCATTTCTATCCTGGGGAGCATCTGTCCGGTTCCTTTTCCACCGGCAAGTCGGAGTAAAATATTACGTCATGAAACACACTCACGCTTCCTTCCGTCTGGCCGAAGGAACCCTGACCAGCATTGATTACTCCTGCATAATGGAGGATTGACTGTCAGCTTGCCTTTACTTCCACCTTTCCTCTCAGGTCCATTGCCCAAACCTGTCGGATGACTAATAAAGAGCAAGAAAGGTAAGAGAAGCTACGGAAGTTACAGTCCCGGAATTTGCCCTTCAATATTATGTGACCTGTGATGGATCTTGTCCTTCTGCTGGATGGAATCTCTGTCTTCTCGACCCTGCTTCTGAGTTGTGCCAGTCTTTCCATCGTATGTGAGAGACATTTATCTCTGCCACTTTGCCCCTTGCAAGCCACACCTTAGTACATTTTGTCTTGATTCTTCTCTGTTGCTTTTCATCATCTGGTGTGGACCGTCTCATCTTGTGCCATTTACAAAGGATCTCCGCCTGAATCAAGGTCCTTGTCTCCGCCCAAACCTTCTCCCTTGGAGTTGAGAGTCCCTCAATTGTTCTACAGCACCTTTCCTTCCAGATGGACCAAAGTGTTACCTTTCTGATCATTCCAAACCACGTTTTCTCTGTCTTCTCGAATTGAGCTGGGATGTTAGTCCATAAGAGGGGAGTTGGATGGGGTGTTGAGGGAGGGGAGTCGAGAAGAGGGAGTCCCAGAGATCCGAGGCCCTCGCCCAATATTCAGTCGCCTCTCTACATCGTATCAGGCAATGTAGCATATCTTCTGGTTCATTTTCTGAACACACCGCGCATAAATCTGAACTGTTAGGGTCATCCTTGCTTCTTCTGATGTGTAGCCACTGGTTAACCAGTAGAGCTACATATGAGATGAGCCATTGGAGGCTTCTGATGTCGACTGGATGAATTGACTTGAATTTTTTCCATGGTATTTGTGGTATCTGATTAGCATCCTGACCTATTAACTTCTGCCATCTGTTCCTGATCGTAGGGTCAGGATCCTTTGTTTTATAAAACTATCCTTTCCTTTGTTTTATAAAACTATCCTTTCTTCTTTTGAACCTCCCAATATTTTTTTCTTATACGAGTTGTAACTCAATAAGACTGGTCATGAAACTTACCCTTTTCTTCTTTTCTCCTTGGGGACACCCGTTAAAATTGGAACGATACAGAGAAGATTAGCATGGCCCCTGCACAAGGATGACACGCGTAAATTGAGAAATGGTCCAAATAAAAAAAAAAAAAAAAAAAAAAAAAAAGATGTTTCACCTGCACATTAGCGACCCACCGTTTTGGAAGTCCTGATTTATCGCAATAGACTATTAAAGAAAAAAAGAAAAATCCTGATTTATTGCAATGGACTGACTGTAGAAAGTTCTGGATCAAGGGTTCCGACTCCTGAGTCGTCGACCACTTATCTAAAGTTGTGGCAATCCCTGCTGAGCTCCTTCCTTCTTTCCTCCTCTCGTCTCCATCTCACTAGTCCCTATCTGTTGAAGTTGGGACCTGTTAAAACATGTATGATCGAGTTCGATACCTTGTTTCTTTTTCCTTACGTTTAAAAAAAAAAAAAAGAAGGGCAACGAACTGGAGATATTTTGATTTGACTGACCGGCCCCAGGTAATTCAGAGTTACCCTATTCTGTTCATCTGGTTGCATCTGGATCAAATTTCAAACTCAGGTCGGCATTTCAACACTCCATGGCTGTATCAGCTGGCTGAGCCAGACCATTACCCAGTTTCAATACGTACTGTTGTGACTTACTGTAACGAGCGCAGAGGCAGAGGACGAGGAGGGAGCAGAGGGAGAGAGAGAGTGAGAGCACACACACACACTCACTCACTCACGCGACTGAACTTGACCGGACGCAAACCAGAGGCTGAGGCACAAAGTCGAAGTCTTGGTTTCGAAGGCCCAAACAGCAAGTCACACTGAGTACGAGTACAGCAGCAGAAAACTGGTACGAGACTGG